AAGAGCGTCATTCCAATCATATGATGATTGGTTTGTTCCTGATTCTGAGATTAGTTTGGATTTCAGTACAAGATATCCGGTTGCAAAAAAAACGCAGTTAATCGAACTTAATAAAGAGAGTAATGTTGCTTTGTGAAGAGAGAAAGCGACCACGCGCGTGGGGGCGTGCGGATGGGACCTTTCTTAGTGATGATGGACTCTGTTTCTACGTTCACATTTTAAAAATGATTAAAAAAACCCTTAAATATTTCATATTATGATGAAGCCACGTGTGATACTGAGTCAAAACTCGTTTCAGTAACTAGCTAGAAATGAATTCAGGCACTTTGAACAAAGGCTGCAACTAAAAGGGACAAACATCTCAAATCACCACAGAAACACACTAATGAATAGAGAGAGAGAGAAAGAGAGAGAGGTCCAAAGAATGCAATTTGGTATATTACAATGGGGTTAGAATCCAATGCCTGACATAATACACAAAGGGAAGTAGCAGATATAGCATCAGATGCAACTAGCACATGTACCAGAGAAGCACCGAAACACTTCCTTAGTTAGCAAATGAACCTAATGAGAAAACTAAGTCATATGTTACCAACCAACCTGAGCCTAATACCATTTCCGAAACTGTCATCTGTACGTATCGATGTGTAAGGGCTTCTCGGCGCTACCTATCTGGTGCTGTTCGGCAGATCCTCCCTCGTTGACTGTGTCATGGGCTTGATTACTGCCGGCCTCTAGTTTCAAACCTTCTAATCGAGGTGTTGTCATACCTGCACTCACCTGTTCAATGCCACCATCAGGTGCAGGCAGAGCTACTGCATTGTACCCGGTAGAATTCATACCCGGATGGCTAAATCCGTTCAGGTACGGGAGATAACCAGGACCATCGCTGGGAGGAGGACAGAAAAACCCGGGTGTAGGCATTATCGGGTTGTTCCACTGGAAATTAGCTCCATGTGCAATGAAGGGATACCCATATCCATACATATCTACAGGGTAGTGATGAAATCCTTGAAGATTATGATAACCAACCGTAGGAGAAGCAACATAAGGTATGATCATCCCGTATGCAAGTCTCTCGGGAGCAAGTGCTGTCAGCTGAAAGCTGCTAAATTTAGGCATGCTTCCTACATCAGAACTCGGGTTATAACCGCCATTATTGGTCTGGATACCCTCTTTTGGTATTGCCCGTTTCACCTCCACGCGTTTGTTACTCAATTCATGGAAATTGTTCTGCATAACATTTTCAACTGAGTCCTCTGATTCATAAGTAACAAACCCGAAACCCCTAGGCCTGTTTGTAATGCTATCATGCATTACAACTACATCAGTTATCCGGCCAAACCTCTCAAAGTAATTCCTGAACTCTTCTTCAGTTATGCTAGACGATAAGCCCCCAACAAAGACCTTTTTGGTTCTGTATACAACATTGCTTGACACTTCATGCATACCACTATTCTGCTGCAGCTGATTCCCATATTGTTGTCGGTGCTGCTGTTGGAGTTTATGGTGTTCATGTCTAGGAACTGCCTTTTTCACATCCACCTGACAAAGATGAAAGAACCGAAACATCAATCAATGGGGAAGACAAGTAAACTAAGAGTATACGCGTCTGCCAAAATGTTAATGAGAGATTTTCATATTTCCATACTTGTAATGCCTATTAATCTTCTCAAATCTTAAGAGACATTATTGAGGCCATCTTATATCTCAACCGGATCCCTACCCTCTCAATTCAAGTAATCGAAAGCCCAAAACTTAGCAACCAAAAAGCAAACACACCTAAGATTTTGATGATTCATTTAATTTCCTAGATTCTCCAACCCATATAAGACACAATATAAACATAAGAGTAACGAAAAGTGTATGAACTCACAGCTCGACCCATAATAAAATGGGTGTCTCGAAGCGCTCTATCGACAGCAAAGGCATTGGAGAAACAGACAAACCCAAAGCACCTCGGAGTTCCAGTGACTTTCGCTCTGGCAACTGCTACACCCAACACATCTCCATATCTACTGAAATGCTGTCTCAGGGCTTCTTCACTAGTCTCCCGAGATATGCCCCCCACGAACAGCTTGTACTGGTCACACTCCATTCTTCAAAAATCCCAAACGCAAGATTCTTCTCAAATCCTCTATTTAGCCAAACCCTAACAGCTCCAACCAGCCTTAGAATCCCCTATTCTTTGAAATACCAATGTAGTAGCCCTAGTTTCACCAAGAACAACGAAGGAAAAATCAGAGGGTCGAAATTAACAACAAACCCCAAATCTGAAAAAGTGCAGCCCTTATAATCAAACAGTAACATTATCAAAACCCTAAATCTTGAAATTCTTGAAACGGGGAGAGACCCAAACCCTAAATTCGGTACGAAACCCTAGGATGTAAGAAGCGAAATGGGAAATTGAGAGAACCCAACGAAAGCCCTAATTTCGAAACTGTAGAGCAGGGAGAAAAACCCTAGAAAAGCACGGAATTTCATGGCGGAAAAGGAAAGTTTACCAGAGATGGAGAGAGACAAGAGAACAGTAGATCGATTTGACTGGAGCTCGAAGTGAGGTAACTTCGAATCCGATGAAAAATCATAAATTTATTTTGCTCAGCGAAAAAAGAAGAGCGATTTTAATATCATATATGTCAAATGAATTATGGGCTTAACAGAAATAATGGGCTCAAGGCCCAAACATATGTTTCTTTTTGTCGGCCCAAACGATGTCTGTTTCATACATGATACAGTTTTTCATTCTACAATACAGTTTTTCATTCTAGATTTTATTTTAAAAAAAGCTATAAATATTCCCAAATTTCTAATATACACAGATAAACATATCCATATTCTATAACTATAGTATGATATTTTATAAAAAAATATTACTTTAATATTTTTTTCCAAACTTTTAAATAAAATGTAAAAATTAACATACTTTCGATCATATTATCATAATTGTCTCTTTTTATTTGTGCTATTTATATTCTTTTAATTTTTTTCTCTTTTAAATCTTACAAATTAAAAGGGGTGTTTATGACATTTCTGGATGTCGATACATTTGATGCCGTATATTTTGATTTTGTTGATTCTTTTGTTTTTTCTTCTTTGGTTTTCTCATAACTACATTGTTTTGTTATGGTTTGCAAGACACTTATTAATAAAAAAAATATTTAATTTATAGATATTTATTTGGGATTATAAAAAGAATTATTTATTTTTTGTTGAGGCCATTTATGTAACAGTCATTACGGAATGACGAAAATATCTTTGTAACGTGAGATTTTTTAACCTATTTTTTTTCACTCGTACCCATCACGAAAAATATTTTTCAGGATATCATCCATTCAAAAACTACTTCAAAACAAACATTTAATTTTGGAGTTTTAGACAAACGAAAAGGTAAATATATTTGGTGATATGAACTATTCAATCAATTCTTTTAAGTTATCATTGACTATATAATCTCATACCTATATACCTCTCGGATCCTTTTCATTTTGGTGTATTCGATTTATTCATATACTCCTCTAACTTAGCGGTATTCGGAGAACCACTATTTATCCATATCAACTGCATCCATGATCACTTTTCACCCTTATCCTACCTTGAAATCCTTATCCTACCTCGAAATGTCACAGTGTAGTAAATATACATGTCAAATAACTTACTTTTTAGTTAATTTGAACCCATATAAAATCAATAAAACTATATATAAAAATACTTGTCTTAAAATCTCAACATCATAGTAAATTTATAAAAAGAAATCTTATGTATCAAAACATCAAATTGGTTACCGTGGTCTTCTCATAACTCTCAGCAATAAATGTTTCAAAATTAGTTTGATATCGGAACTTACATAAATTTTTTTTCTAATTCATTAGTTTTTATTGTAAAATATATTTTATATTGTTAATGTTAATACATACGTAGAAATTGAATCTACACATATAACGTATATATAAAAACCAAAGGACCATTATCTAAAATAATCTACTTTTGCTAAAACTACTTCTACATATACCCTCATCCAGCTATGACCTTGTGACCAGAATAATTATATAGTTACATGATGGACATATTGGTCATAACGTTAAATTTATGGTGATTACACCAAGTGATCACGGTCACACCTAACATATCATACTAATTATTTGATAAAATTATCAAAAATTTAATATTGTGACCAATGTGATCATACAATTATTTTGATGACAAAATCATATTTGGAGAACGGTGCGTAGAAGTGGTTTTTGTAAAAGGACAGTATTTTGCCTATATATATATAACTGGTAATTATATTAAAAAATAAAGAAAAAAATTTTAAAATAGAAAATCTAAGGTAGACTTTGATTACAAACCCATTGTCGCCATTTTTTATGCGAAAAAACTGTCTAATGTTTTGAAAATGATCATTCAATCAGAGTAGATTTGATTATCTATACGATTATTTCGTTTTTTTTATAAAATATACAGTAACATATTCATTATGGTTATATTTATTGCGGTTATGTAAGATTATTTACTGCTCAATTTTATTTTATCATATTAACCATGTTAGAATTGATTTATAAAATATTTAGAAAATCTATATATTATAATATATTACGGAATATAGCTTTTTCACTGTAAATCTTTAATCTAATTACGATGGATATGCTGAATAAATCATATATTGATTCATGATTTACCAAGATAGTTTATATACAATTCAAATTAAAATACTAATAAATAATGAAATTATATAGAGAAAAACTCATAAAATTATTTGAATATTTTAAATAAATATATTAATTATTTCGCTTTCATATAAATACACCAACTATTTTAATATATATATATAGATTTACATATCGAGCTAACAACAATAATGAAATACTAGAGGGTCTTGACCTGTGTGACTTTCCCATAGATCGGAATCGGACCGTTTTTCTCTTCTCAGTGAGTCTCTCTCTCCATGGAAACTGGCGTTACGAGTTCGCATCGGCTGTAGATTTTAGCTCCCTTTGTCGCGATCCAACGGCTGGTTCAAAACCCTATTTTCTTGATTATGGAAGATGCATACGCCAGATCTGTCACCGAGGTTATTTGCATTTCACTTCTTGATTTTCTGTTTGTTGTTTGCTTCGCTTTGATGTCGTTGGTATCCGATTAACGAAGGGTAGTTTGGCGTTCGTCGAACTGCTTTCAGTGTGGTTGAAGTGAATTTGTTGTCTTCGCGATCTCTGTTTGGTTTTGATGGTGTTTCTGTCATTTGGACAGGTGCTTGATTTCTTTGGGGTAGACCCGACAAAGGGCCTTTCTGATTCTCAGGTATGAGTTTGTCGGCACCTGAACTGATCTTAGATTTCAGTTGTTTGACCCGAAGATTGGAATTTGAACATCTCGTAGCCATTGTTTAGTTTGATTATGTTCTCGTAGCTTTTAATTTGAAATGAGTTTGTTCCTGTCTTTGTGATTTGTAGGTTATTCAGCATTCTAGGCTTTTTGGCAAAAATGGTATGTGTTACTTCCGTGCCACTTTCGTTTATTGTTACGGTTCGTAGTTGTGGCAGTCTCTGTATCTTTCTTACTGTTTCAGATCTGTAACGCATTTCTGGGTTTTGGTGTTCTTATATAATGGATCAACCTAGGACTCAGGGATTTTGTGCGGGTAGCAATGATGTTATGTCGTGATGTGAATGCAAGATTGAGAATCGGATGTTTTATTGTGTCTAGTCCTTGGATTAATGCATTGAACGTGGATTAGTTGTGCATTCTAGGGTTCAGGGTACATGCTGGAAATTATAACATCGTTTATAAGTATCTATTTCAAGAAACAGCAGAATTGCTGCTGCTTTTGCTTCTAAAGCTTCACTCTGTCCGCCATTCCAATATTAATTATAGGTGTGCTATCTCCTTAAGTAAAAAATTGGACCTAGGATCGTAAGGAAAGTTGAAATCCTTTCAGTTTCGAATATCTTTTCCTGCTTTAATTTGGGAAAGCATACCCTTTTTTGTTTGATAATTGGTATAATTATATTATGATTTATTTGATCTTGTTTAGTTCTGATCTTCTTTGTTCTTTTGTCTGCATGTTCCTCTCCTGATTTGCAGTACTGCCTGAAGAGAAAAGTAAGTTTGTCACTCCTCTCTCTGATAATGGTTTTTTCTGTTTAATAATGTTTTCTCGGGAATTCCTGGAAAAAGTGTTAACCTTTTTGTTATTCTGAGATTCCCAGTATGGTTTGAGACCACCTCAATGGTTATGAGAATCTAATGTGGAGATGATTCATCAAATAGAGTGTTGGCTCTTTTTGTTTTTCATTTGACTTGTTCATGTACGATAGACCTTTACCATTGTAAACATTCTATGTGTTCATAGCTCATTTGTCACTGTCTCTGATGTCTTAATGGATTGAGTCATACCTTCCTCATGGCTCTTTAGACGTAGGAATCTAGCCTTTTGTGGAGATGTCATCAAAGATGAGGATTTAGCTTTTTAGCGCATACTTGATTTTTTTTTCTCATGTTAACTGGATGCAGGAACTTCATTCTGGAAGCTGGTTTTGAAACAATTTGATGATTTGCTCGTTAAGATATTGATCGCAGCTGCGATTGTTTCTTTTGTATTGGCGTTGGTTAATGGAGAGACTGGTTTAACGGCATTTCTTGAGCCTTTTGTAAGTCCCAGTATCCTTTTTGCTATTCATTTTTACGTTATCGTAGCGATTAGTTGTTCATTTAAGTTGTATGTAGTATGTACTTTTTGTTTTGTTGTTGGCTAGTGGCTTATTCTATTTGGTAAAACCTAAAACATTTTATGTATTTATTTTCTTGTCTGTGATCTACTTTATACTTTCTTTTATTTTCTTAAACTAGGACCCAGAGTCTGCTTATGATCTATATGAAGGCCAAAAGTTTTTTTCTGTGGCTAAGGAATTCTGTATTTATAGGTTTTCATGTGGTTATGTGATTTTGATGACAAGTTGGTTGATATTTAATTAGTCATTTTCTTGCAACTCGCCGATTCATGTGAAGGAAGGATCATAATAATATTTTGTCTCTTAGAGTCAAAGTTTATCGATTGAGGTATCTAGCGTGGGTACAATATCACTGCATTAGGTGCTATCATCAGGGAAAGAATTACACACGTGAAGATGTTATTTGGTACTAACATTATTGTTTCCATATAATATGATATCAACAGGTAATTCTACTTATTCTGGCTGCAAATGCTGCAGTCGGGGTGATCACAGAGACAAATGCTGAGAAAGCTCTCGAGGTAGTGCCTGTACAGTTAATGTTTTGCGACTACATAGGTTAAGATGACATTACAACATTTTTTTTTGTTTTACAATTTTTTTTTTGGGTGGAGGGGGGTAGATCAAATTCTTCCTCCTCATCAGGTGGTGGGGTTTGGAGTTTTGGCCGACCCTAATGTGCTCAATTTTCATTCCTTCTACTTCTTTACTGGTTGTAACATTAGCTTTTTATCTATGTTCTCCTGTTTTTTTGTTGTAGGAGCTACGTGCTTACCAAGCAAATATAGCTACAGTCCTCCGGAATGGTACTGCAAAGAAAAATAGTCTTAGAATGTGCTATAATCTAAAGCAATCAAATAATTTGACATAATTCTGTTGGCACCTCCTCTAGGTGTTGTATTTTGTGTTTAGTGAGGCAAACACTTCTAATGCCTTGTGCTTCTAAAAAGACACTTATGCCTAGAGAGGTTTAATTTTTGGACGGCCTTTGCATGCCTTTTCGTATTGTCTTATTCATCAGACTTCAGAATGTCTTGGAATATCTGTAAGTTTTGTTTATGGTCACTGCGTTCCATGTGGAATACGAATGCAGGTTGCTTCTCAATATTACCTGCAACAGAACTGGTGCCAGGTGACATTGTGGAAGTTAATGGTATGTTTTTATCTCACCAAACCCAAAGTTAGTGGTTTTCTTAGACTTTTGCTAAATTCTGAAAGGTCGTTTTTCCTTGTTTCTCTTATGCTAAACAGTGGGCTGTAAGATTCCGGCTGACCTGAGGATGATTGAGATGTTGAGCAATGAGTTATGCGTTGATCAAGCAATTCTAACAGGTGTTTCATCTGTTTCCTTTATAATTTTAGCTTTTGTAGCTGCAAGAATTCAAGATGTCATTTTGATGATTAGCTGTATGTTCAATGTCTTGTTAACCGTTCTATTTCAAACAACTGGAATCTGGCTTTTGGATTTTTGTAGTAACTTATTGTGAAGACATTATTCACAGCAATTTGTAGAGGAAGTTCTGATATTCACAAATTCACAATGATGTTCTTAGCTTTGAGTTCAGTTATCCCAGCAGCTTTTGTAGAAATTGTCTTAATGATGATTTTGACTCTTATGTCATCTTGTATGGAATCGGAGGTTTGCCTGATTCAGGTCCACTGCATTCATACCCTAATTTGGGGAAAATTTTGTCGGAGAATTGCAGGTGAAAGCTGTTCAGTGGAGAAAGATATTGACTGTCCTGTAACAACAAATGCTGTCTACCAAGACAAGACTAATATTTTATTTTCGGTAGGAAGACTAATTCTTAGCAGCACTTTATGGTCTTAATTACATGTATTGCGGCTATTGCCTTTACTGCCTCTTAGGGCCATATACAAATGCTTTTCATTTTATTAATCTTGAGTTCATTCATGGTTACAAGTTCAGTGTGTATTAGCTTATTTTGTTTTTCTATTTGTCTATGTCTATGTTTGCTGGAATTTAGACTGTTCGACCTTTTTCCACTCCCTATTTCTTGTGCCAATTGTCCTTGAATAGTTATGTTGTGTATAATCTATCTTGTCAGGGAACTGATGTCGTTGCCGGTAGGGCAAGGGCTGTTGTTGTCGGTGTTGGTGCAAACACTGCTATGGGTAGCATACAAGATTCTATGTTGCAAACAGACGATGTAAGCTATCTTTATTCTTTTTTGTCTGCTGCCTGCAGGTGCACCACTAACTTTTTATTGATTGTATCAAATTCGTTTCAACTGATTAGCTTATTATTTTTCACCTTTCGGATGATGTTAAGGGGTTTGGTATACTTGTTTCCTGCGCATATTATAGCTATACCATGTTGACTGTGGAGGGTTTTTTTAATCTGTTTTGAAGCATGTTACGATATAGGAGTCCATATTTTATTACTTCTAAAAAATGTTTTTGTTGCAGGAGGCAACACCATTGAAAAAAAAGCTGGATGAGTTTGGCAGCTTCTTGGCTAAGGTGACATGAATGACTTTCTGAAATTTTGAAAAATTTTCATATAGAGGAGATGCTCCGATTATAAGACTTTATTAGGTATCTTGAATAGGATGGAGTTTGTTTTTTTTCCTTCAATCTCAATTTTCTCATTTATTGGCATCCGCTAGTTGTCTGAGCACGTGTGGTCTCTCTTAAATGGATCCGTTATTAACTATGACTGGCAAAACAGACTGATATACTTCAGAGATTTTAGTATATTTAATTTATATTTCTTGGGTTTCAAGACATTTCTTCATGTTTTCCCACAATGTATTAACCCATGCTGTTTTGGTAGGTTATTGCTGGAATTTGTGTACTTGTGTGGGTTGTCAACATTGGCCATTTTGGCGACCCTTCTCATGGGGGATTCTTACAAGGCGCAATTCACTATTTTAAGGTGATGTATTTTAATATCATGTTATAGCTATCTTGAATTCATAATATCTCCCTCATTTTGTGTTTAGAGATTATGTGATTTGAAACTAGTTACACTTCTGCAATGAAGTCTTGGGAACACATAGATGTTTCTTGCCTCTGTCATCCCTGAAAATAAACACAGGGATATGAAAAGAAGGGCAATTGAACTATCAAGTCATTAACATACAAGCTTTCAATATTTAAGTAGAAAGAGCCATCAAATAAATTCACGTCCTGAAATGAGAGTGTATTGTTAAATTTCATTATCCACTACTCTTTTGACAGAGCCAAAGATGGATGCTAAGCATGGTTGTTTGAGCTTATTGAATAATAGTTTAAGTGTATAGTTAGATGCCAAACGTGTTACTCTATGAACTGTTAGATGGAGCTACTGATTTGCAGGAAAAACTGTCACCCTGCAATCAGGGCGCTGCAATATCTCAATAAATTTGTCGTATTCGCTAGATATTTTTTCCTATCTGGGTGATATCAATCTGGAAGCTCGTTATCTGAATCTGTCACTATTCAACCATTCATTTTGTTGTGCTGCCATTTGAACACACCAATAGTACGCAATTTGTTGATAGGTTTCTTTCTTTGTTCCTTTTTATCCAGATTGCAGTTGCGCTTGCAGTAGCAGCAATTCCAGAAGGTCTTCCTGCTGTTGTTACAACGTAAGTATTCACTATTTCATATGATTTTCTGGTTCTGGCATCCTCCATTTTGAGTCAGCTGACGCCTGGAAAGACTGATGGAAACATGTTCTTTAGTATTAGGTTAAGTAGCAATTAGTTTCTCAATCAGCTCCCTGTTAGTGAAGATATAGGAAGAAGATGAATGGCCTTACCTTGTATAATAATTGTTGTGTTGAGGACATATGTTGGACTAAAGATAGTTTGTAATGTTAATGAAAGTTTGGGAGGGACAAACATGTATAGGGTAAAATTTTGTGAATGGCAGGCATTTGTTTCTTGATTATTAATGCTGTTGAATTAGTTTAGGTTCATTCACATTTAGATCGATGTGTTTATAAAGGCTAATGGTTTTGCATCTAGTCATCTTTTACATTGGAGGTTACTCTTGGTTATTGTATTGTGCCTTAAAATTGTTTTGGTGCTTTTACTATCTAGGTGTTTGGCCCTTGGAACAAAGAGAATGGCTCGGTTGAATGCCATTGTACGATCATTGCCATCTGTTGAGACTCTTGGTTGCACCACAGTAATTTGCAGTGACAAGACTGGAACTCTAACAACCAATATGATGTCCGTGTCAAGGGTTGTTATTCTAAACTTAATGCTTGATGATTATAAATCATATTACCATGACCTCATGCATTTTGCAAGTTGCACTATTTTCTTGACTATTGAGGATCTTATTTTTGGCTCGTGAAGCTCTATTTGTTTGGAAATTTGCTGCTGAATAAATATAAATCCCATTTAAACTATGATACAAAAATTATGGATTGCCATTTTCAATCTGTTTGTAACTGACTTTAACAAAGATTGATCGAAATCCCCCATAATTAACGTCTACATGTGCATGGACAAGTTGTGTTTACGTGTACAAGTAGTTAATTTTAGTAGATGTGTTTGCTTAGGAATGGTTAACATTTTTCTCATAGATCTTGTGATATATGTTTGCAAGTGTGAGGAATGTTAATTTTTTGTTAAGGGATTAGGAGCAGCTAAGAATTTACTGCTAGATCTGTGTAGACTCGGTTTATTGTCTTAAATGTCATATTTGAATTGTCTTATTCTTTTTCTTATCGTTTCTTTTTGTTATGTAACTACTTTCAAATATTTATATTTCCCTCATTTCTTGTATTTCAGATATGTGTAGTCCAATCTGCAGAGTATGGTCCTATGATTAGTGAATACAGTGTGAGTGGGACGACATATGCCCCAGAAGGTACCATCTTTGACAGCAATGGGATGCAGGTAACAATTTCTGTCCTGTACTTCACATGTAAGCCATTATTCGCTCATGGTGCTGATACAAGGGTGGAGTTAGAACGTGCTCACAGAATTGTTGTTATCGTCAATCGTGCAACCTGCTATAACTCTCACAATTTTCAGGACAAGATTTTTCTTTTGGTTTGCAGCTGGACTTTCCCGCTCAGTCACCTTGCCTTCATCATCTAGCAATGTGTTCAGCACTCTGTAATGAGTCCATCCTGCAATACAATCCAGACAAAGATTTGTATGAAAAAATCGGGGAATCAACAGAAGTTGCTCTTCGAGTTTTTACAGAAAAGGTTAGTGTATTTATGGAATTATTCTTTCACATTATGCCTTCCACCACGAGGGTAATCAGAGTAAATATTGACCATGTTTTCTTTTCTAATTCCAAGTTGGATGTACACTTTTCAATGAGTACTAGTCTAATTTGGACAACCTCTGTTTAGAATTCTACTTGAAAGGGCAGTTTACTACAACGTTGCTTGCTTTCCAGGTTGGCCTTCCAGGTTTTGATTCAATGCCTTCTGCTCTAAACATGTTGAGCAAGCATGAGCGTGCATCATACTGCAACCATTATTGGGAAAATCAGTTTAAGAAGGTTCAAATTTTGTGGAATCTAACGTTTTGGCTTTGTTTTCTGACTTTTTACATATATTTCTGGGAGAGAGAGAGATAATAGCGTGAATGATGGGCCTATATAATTCAACGAAACTCCTTTGCCCTTTCATCATTTATTCATAAACTTGATTCATCATCGCTGCTGATTGTTCTGCAATTGTCTGTGAACAATAAAATATACAAATACTGTCCAATTAATTCAAGAATGTAGTAGCCTATGTATCTCTAGGTTTTTTTCCATGATGAGCTCTGGGAAGAAGCTTATAATTTCCTTGCTAGATCTTGAAATGTTGCTTCTTTAGGGAACGATTAGGTTTAAGAGCATTAGCATCATTAGAATTGTATACTGACCTCAAAACATTAGTTTTTTTATAAATGATTTGTAGTATTTTTATGGAGTGACGAATGATTTTATTCGTTTTGTAATCAATCATTGACAGGCTTATGTTTTGGAGTTTACTCGTGATCGCAAAATGATGAGCATCCTTTGCAGCCATAAGCAAATGGATGTGATGTTTTCAAAGGGTGCCCCAGAAAGTATAATTGCTAGGTGCACCAAACTTCTCTGCAACAATGATGGTTCTGTTGTTCCTGTAACTGTTGCTGCCCGTGCAGAGTTGGAGTCCAGGTTCCATAGGTTTGGCCTCGAATTGTTTGATGAATATTGAATATAATTTTTTTTTAAGTTCTGTTCGACGTCATGGTGCTTGCAGTGTCTTTCCTCTGGTATGCATTCTGTTCACATGGTTGTACATTGCCTTTGGTTCAATCTTCTTGAACTATGTAAAGCAATTACCTTTCCGGAAATCCCAAATTGTTTGATTTTGTGCTTTCCCTGTTAGATGGTCGATCTCAAGCAATGGAGGAGTATGTTAATGGATTATTTTGAACTGTAGTCGGTAAAAGGAAATTCTGACTACTAATAATGATGATCATCTTTCAAATCTTCTCTAGTCATAATGGGAATACTTAACTTTCAATTTTCTGATATTAATCCAAGTTTGGGCTTATGTTTTGGTGGTTGTTTACTTGTACTTTTTACACATATACATGGTCTGAAAAGAAAAATAATTCTCGACATCAAGACTCAAAGTGTATATCGTTTTGGCCTCTTAAGTAAATGTCTGGCTTGGTTGGATAAACTGATTGTTGTTTGTCGTGTTCTGCATCTCAGTGAAGTTGATTTGTGGCATCCTACTTTCATTGAATAGTTTACTCTAAATGCGGCAATGCTGCTTTGAAGGTTTCAACTTTGAATAGCTTGTTCCATTATCTAGCCATTCTGAGCTCCGTATCAGCTTTGCAGAAAATGAAACATTGAGATGTTTAGCATTGGCAATGAAACCCATGCCCCGTGGCCAACAAATTATTTCTGCTGATGATGAGAAAGACCTGACATTTATTGGGTTGGTACGCCTTTCTTTCAAATAAATTGTATTTAGATCATTTTTCCGATATTTCTAATTATTAATCTCCATCACTCTCTCAGACCAGTTACTGAAACCTTTACCTGTTCAACTTTATTGGGATCATGTTTCTTATTGGACTGTTATCTCGTCTTTCTGTGTCTAGGTTGGAATGCTTGATCCACCTAGGGAAGAAGTAAGAGACGCTATGCTTGCATGTATGACTGCTGGAATACGTGTTATAGTTGTTACAGGAGACAACAAGGTACTAAAAGAAAATATGCAGGCATGCCTTATACGCCTTTTCTTGATTATTTCAATCTTCTTGGTGCTTACTATGACTTGCTTGAAATTTCAGTCCACAGCAGAATCACTCTGTCGGAAGATAGGAGCTTTCGATCACCTCGCTGACTTTTCTGGTCTCTCCTACACTGCTTCTGAATTTGAACAACTTCCAGCTTTGCAGCAAACTCTAGCATTGCAACGGATGTCGATCTTTGCCAGGTGTTTTATTGCAGTACCTCTTTACTAACTTGTGGCCTTTTGTAACTGTAACAATCAGAATAAGTTCCTGAATAATTTATAATTCCCATGCATATTTCTTTTCCTTCCCCAAAATCCTAGGTATACAATGTTTTTTAAAGCCAAAAATTTCTGTTTTTTCCCCTTTCTGTGCAGGGTTGAACCTTCTCACAAAAGGATGCTCGTAGAAGCATTGCGGAACCAAAATGAAGTGGTAACTCCTGTTGTGATTCAGCTGCTCTTTTTCTGCCTTTCGGATACAGCTTTTTATGAATTGCACTTTTTTCGTTCAAGTTTCGGGTGCATGTTCATGCACATGGTGCATATAAAGCTTTGTTTTGAAATTCTTGTCTGGAATGCTTTTACTTTTAAGCATTCAACTCTTTTACCATTGCTCTCCTAGGTGGCAATGACTGGTGACGGTGTCAACGATGCTCCTGCGTTGAAAAAAGCTGACATTGGGATTGCCATGGGTTCTGGAACAGCTGTAGCAAAGGTATCACTTACTAGTGGTTCTTCCAGTGAGCATTCTCTATCACTGGAATTTTGTTGTCTTATTGAAAAACTCTGTGCCATGGTGGGGTCATGCCTTATCGTCTTCATGACCCTTTATTTATATGACTCTTTCTCTCACTTGGACATGGTAGTCCAGTGAGATGGGGATCCAGAGTAAAATCCCTTATTCCTCCCAATGTTGTAAGTGATAGCAAAAGAAAGGAAGTGACATTTCTTCCTCTCTTGAAAGTCTTTGTGATGAGAGATGAGACTTATTCAATTTTGAAATCAGATTTCACTGCTATAAATTGCAATTTATCTCAGCTAGCTGATTAACTGAACTACTCTTACGTGATTTATTCTTGCGTCTGTTGTCTTACATGCTCAAGTTGCTAGCCTGTGATATGTTAACATTGAATGGATGTTCCCAAACACTTGTGTAAACTCCCATAGCATCATCAACTTTTTTTTTTCTATATCTCTTTATTCGGAGCCAACCTATTTCTTTTCTTTCGTTGTTTTGGGTTTCAGAGTGCATCAGATATGGTTTTGGCTGATGACAATTTTGCTTCAATTGTTGCGGTATGTGATTTCTTGCATTTCTTCTTAGTTTTTGACATATCTTGTGCGCAGTTTTATGATTTTAATTGTTGTGTGGTGTTTAAAATTGTTACTTGTACCCAAAAGAAAATTGTTTGAATCCTTTTAGTTTATGTTTGTTTTAAAAAAAAAAGTACTAAAAATATCAATATATAATTTGAGCGTGTAGATCGTTTATAGTTGGTTTCAAACATTAAAGAACTAGGTAATCACATATGTTAAATAGATGACTTAGTTATATCAAATGAATTTCCGTTATATATGTACATGCATATGTATGTAGACATTTGTCTGACCTCTGAGATTATGCGAAGCTAATATACCGCTAATATGTTATTCTAGTTGACATGAGAGGCATGGGATCTTTACTTAAATATATCTTCACTAATCATTTACATTCTATAACAATAGTGTATCTTGGCCACCTGTGAATTTTGAGTAGTTCTTGAACATTTTCTTTTCTTGACAGGCTGTTGCGGAAGGAAGGGCTATCTATAATAACACGAAGCAATTCATTAGATACATGATCTCTTCAAATATTGGTGAAGTAGTTTGTATATTTGTAGCAGCTGTTCTGGGAATTCCTGATACCCTTGCTCCTGTGAGTTTGCTTTATTTAATTCAGTAACTTTATTCTTAGAATTCAATCAGGTTTCTTTCTTAAGTGATTTTTGTCCTCAAATTTTACCTTAAGTGTTTCCTCTTGATAGGGTTGTCCGAATTTACTGTTGTTTTACCCTGGAAAACAATCGCAGGTTCAGCTTCTTTGGGTAAATTTGGTGACTGATGGATTGCCTGCCACTGCAATTGGTTTTAATAAACAAGATTCTGATGTAATGAAGGCGAAACCCCGGAAGGTAGGGGATTCAGTTTTCCAGATAGTTACAATTTGTGGAGTTTTGACTATATCTCGAAGTAATGTTGACATGTTCACATAATGACTAATTTTCTCTTCAGCCTCACCTAAGTTTCAAGGTTTCTAGTGATGCAAAAAATGTGTGAAAATTTATCATTTTACTTGTGAAAGCTTTTATTTGGATGTCCACTCCATTGTGTGGCATTTTCTTTCTTAGTCTTAACCTGGCCTTCAATTCTCATGTCTGATTGCCCTGATTCCAGGTTGGTGAAGCGGTGGTCACTGGGTGGTTATTCTTCCGATATTTGGTTATCGGAGGTAAATGCAACAGGGTGAACTGTAAAATTAATTTGATTCTATCATGTACATCACAGAAAGAATTAAGTTTTCAAAAGCTACGATTCCGGAACCTTGATAGTTTTTTTAATGGCAATTCTGTGCCTTCCTGCATCACTCCAGGGGAAGGAAATGTAAGTTGGTTTGATTTCCATTGCAGTGTATGTGGGTCTTGCAACGGTTGCTGGCTTTGTATGGTGGTTTATTTACTCTGATAGTGGCCCTAAACTGACTTACAATGAACTGGTGAGATTCTGCAGGCAGTCATTAATTGGCTTGTATCGGTACATTTTTTTTCACCTGGTTTTTGCTGACTTTGTCAAATTTTCAAGAGTTGATTTTCCTCGTAGTTCTTTGCAATATCATACCAGAAGTTTCAGTGCAACATGATGATCCTTTTCAGATGAACTTTGAAACTTGTGCTATGAGGGAGACAACTTATCCCTGTAGCGTATTTGAAGATCGGCACCCATCTACTGTGGCGATGACTGTACTTGTCGTTGTAGAGATGTTCAATGCTCTAAATAATCTCAGCGAAAACCAATCTCTCTTGTAAGTATACCTCCTTGCTCTCCTTTATGGAAATTCGTAACAAAAATCTCTCTGTTGACCTTATTTCTGTTATGATACGCTAGAGCGTTTTAGAAACACTCGAATTTAGAGTCTAACTCCTTGAAATTTTAAGTACTGTTTGGTATGCCATTATGTAGAATGTTACATCTGTTTGATATGATTGTGGATTGTTGGCTGTGTGATTATTCACCTTTCTCAGTCTGTAAAAGTGGAGTCTTTGTCATATTTCTATATCTACGCTTGTTTGTAGTAGAGTTTAGGTCTAACCTAGATTGGTGGTGTGTGATTTCAGTGTTATAACTCCGTGGAGTAATTTATGGCTTGTGGGTTCAATAATCCTGACGATGGTTCTGCATGTGCTAATACTATATGTTCATCCTTTGGCAGTTCTATTCTCTGTAAGCTAATCTTTTCCACAACCCCGCCGTATTAACTGGATATCTTTTTCTTCTTTTTAAGAATCCCGATCTCATTTGTTTGTGCTTCACAGGTCACTCCTTTGTCCTGGACTGAGTGGACCACAGTCCTGTACCTTTCATTTCCGGTAAGCATCTCCATATTAATCTGCTAGGTTTTAGTTTTCAAAATTTCCCGGGGAGCCCTTAAAGTGGAGCTTTTAGCATCGGCTTTTTTAGGTCGTTTCTAGTTGTAAACCCCGAGTTGAAAAGCCAAAATATTGCAGAAAGTATTGAAAAACTTTGCCAGTGCTCAAGGCGGTGAAAGTAGGATATACATTGATGAAGTTGTCTGATTGATGCAAATCTGTACAAAAATTAAACAAACCCTTATAATAGGGAGATCTTTCAGATATGAATCAGAATTTTCATGGCTTCCCATCTCTATATGTATTATATAGGCCATGTTGGAAACTTAACTATTTGCTACTCTTTTTGTTTCTTCTGTGCCTACTGTAGGTTATCCTTATTGATGAGTTCCTGAAGTTCCTCTCCAGAAACAATGGTATGTTTACTCTCTCTCTCTGCCCTTTTAACCGATTCACGAGCCCGTGTCAAATGAGCTAAAAATAATGCCGATGACTAGTAGAATTCCCAACCTTTCTTGTCACTATCCTCTGCTCGTAAAGCCTTTGCGATATTGCTGCACCTCGTAAATTGACGCAAGGGATTGATTTTCTTCTGGTGTGAAATCATCTTTAGGAGAGTTTTGCTATTCCTGTCTCCTTGGTACCGATGTGTACAGCTCAGGAAACCCGATTCCAATATTCCGGTTATCGCTATCTGGTATATTCCGACAAAGAAATGACTGGTCCTCTGTTTTTTCCCCTTTTGTAGGTGTAGGCATAAGGTCGAGGTTCAGAATGAGGAGGAGTGATCTACTCCCCAAGGACCAACGTGATCAGTAGGAATTTCCAGACAAAACACCAAACAGATGAAACCTTATAAAAAGAGTTTTGAGGATCCAACAATACACCCACAGATCTTTCTTCTTTTTTTTTTGTACCAAAAGAGTTTACATACCAAACTGTTTAACTTTGCAGTATTGCTTCACCAAGTTCTTGCATCATGCCTTAAAAAAAGTTAATTAAATGAATTATTCAAGTTCCGGATGTCTTTGGGTTTTACAGAGGTTTCGGGTGTCTAAGTTAGTTTGGAAAAAAAAAAAGATTAAGGTACTTTTGTATTTTTTTTTTAATAAATATAAGAGTACCTTCATAATTTTATTATTTTAAAATAGAATTATTGGCAATTTTGTAATTTTATAAAGATTAAAAGGTACTTTCATATTTTTTATAAATATAATAATTATTTTTATAATTATAGAGCATGGATTTATGAAACAGTACCAATTTATAAAAATATTTTATTTTAAAATATTTGTATATACAATAACCTTAATTGATTTTGGGCAGCCACCTCCCTCAAGTTATAGTACTAGTCCAAGAATCACGAAGACGAATACTAACCATGCTTTGTAATCTATATATATATATATATAATTTAATTGTAACGTGAACAAAATGATTGAAACATAAGTCACAGCCATAAAAAAAAAAACAACGAAATATATGTGTATTTACACGATTTACATGATTCTAATAATGAAAAATAATAATATATAGAATTACATTATTTTGATTAAAAAAAAGAATTACTATAAATCTTCCAATGAGCAAATGGTCTAACTTCGGTTCTAATATGACTCGACAACTGTAAATAATCTTCACAATAGTAATGAAATTTTCCTTACAAATTTTGCAACAAAAGAAATCCTAATTGAATGAAAATAACAAACACAAAGGCCGAGTTTACTTAGTTTTGATAAATTTTTATTTTTAATTAAAAAAAACATGCATTTTGCCCCAAAAAAACATGTTTTTCCATTAGCTGCATATATTGGAATATTTCATCAATCCAATTTATTTCACATTGTTTTATGAATAAAATGTTTTGAAAATGTCGTTCCTAAGAGATTTTCAGATACTATAACATAAAAATTAGAAACATAAAAAAATATGCAAAAAAAAGTAGCAATAATATATAAGTTCTATTATTATATAAAAATTTGAATCAACCATATTCTTTACCTACCAATTCAAAAGTAGATTTTTCAAATGACTTGAACTTCATCATTTTTTTTTTACATTATCCCTAAGTAAAACTAGAAAATAAAGATTAAAAAAAAGGAATTAGAAATTTGCTTTGCCTGAAACAGCATAGGATCTGCTTCTGGGATACAAGATTCTATCAGAAACCTTATGACTGAAAGAACCTTCTCCTTCATCTTCTTCCTCATCGATCCTCGTCATCCCCACGCTGCTGCTCTTCGGCAACCCTCCTCTCGCTGCCGCCGCCGCCGCCACTCGGCTCCTCTGCTTTTCCCGCAGGAACATCTCAATCTCGTTCTTGTGTCCGAAGCTCCTCACCGAGGCTGCCCTGACGAGCTCTCTGTAATCGTCGGCACCGTCTTCTTCGCCGGAAAATGATCCCCAGGAGACGGCGGAGGAGGAGCTCCGGCTTCTGGGCAATGCGGCGGAGGAGACGAAAACGGCGGAGGAGTAGTGGGTTTTGGCGGCGCAGCCGGTGATGCTTCGGACGTAGAGATCACGGGCTTTGGTGAGAGCTTTTATGGGTATGGAGATGAGTCTCAGGAACTTGTTGCTGCTATGGTTTTGTCCCTTGTTCCTCATCCTCCTGTATTTTTTTTCTTGTGTTGTCTTGATCTTTTTTTTTTTGGGTGAGATGGTGGCTTTGGGTTTGGGATTATGGAGTTTGTGCTTTAAGGGTTTATAGAAGATGTTGATATTAAATACATTATCAATTCTTTTTCAATATTAATGTACATAAATATAATTATATCTATGTATGTATGCATGTATATATGTATGTGTAAGAAGTGAAAATTGGTTTCAAGAAATGAGAACCGAAGTAGATGTTTGACTCGAGCACAAAAGATATATATGTTAGATAAGTACACACGCCGCCTCTTTTATCCAAAAATAAAGGGATAATTCCATTTAAAACTCTATACTTTTCTCTCGTCGCAATTTAAACCCTGTACTTTTTTTTGATCCAAAAAAACATTGTACTTTTAAAAATTGGCAAATAAAACCCTGAACGAAAAAATATATTATTTAATGCTGACATGGCATCCTAGTCATCTGCCACATCATCAATCCCTAATATTTAATAATATTAATTAATGCAAAATAAAAATAAAATAATAAAAATAAAAATAAAATTTTAAAAATTATACACATACATATATAATGAAATGATATATATATATACACATATATAAACATATTTATATATATACACACATATATATAATACATATATGTTTTATATGCATATGTGGTATATGTATTTTTTTTTCTAAAAATCATGCATATGTCACATATATATATGATTTTTAGAAAA